ATATAGAGATTAGAGATTCATGTGAAAACGTCTCAATGTCAATTGCTTTGGAATGAATTCTCCTGTATGAAAAAAAAAAAGTTGTGCTGTAAGGAATTCCTTGAGAAATGTTTATAATTCTATGAGAATGTAAATAGTTTCACAGTAATTGTTTTTCAGTTAGAATATTCTAACTTAATTGCAGCGCAGTCTCTTTAAAAAAAAAAAAGCTCTTTTCTCTAATACTCTACCTTGGAATACTGCCTAAATCAAACATTGATCTATCATTTCATATTATAACTTGTATATTATTAAAACGATTTTAGGTTTTAGAGAATACTGTTCCCCCTTTATTATTAAAATAAAGATACTTCTAATTCATACACTTTAGGATTTTCCAAGTTGTATATATGTATGAACATTTTCACACATTAACATGTAATTTCTCTTGCTGAACTACTGACTAATCTTAGATATTTGCATGGTTTAGCCACGCTTTAGTTTCTTTGACAAGGAATAAATAAGGAGATTTTAATCATAGAATTCTGTGAGATTCATACTCACTATGAAATTTCTGATGTGATCTAAGGTGTGAGCCAAATGGAAATGGTGACTAAAATTCCTTTTAGAGGTAGTATTTATCTAAATTAAGGATCCTAATTTAGAATTAGAAGATTGCAAGATTGGATGAACAAGTAAAACTTTTATATTTCTGGTTTCTCACACCTAAAAATTCTCTCATAGTGAATTAAAATTGAAATTTCATTACAAATTATGGAATTTCATATTTACTTCTAAATTTTCTTCAATAAACTATACAATTTTTTAAAAATTTAAGTATGTATTAAAGTTTTCAACATAGTTCTTGAATTTGAAAATTTCCCTCCAGTATGGATTTTATATTTTTGCCTAGGGATTGAAACCAGGATTTTCCAAACGTTTACAATTATAAACCATCTCTCCAGTATGTATTCTTGCTAATTTTTCTGACTTGAAAAATATGGTTAATCAAATTGCCACATTACTTATATTCTGGTATCTCCCTTCATTATGAATTTTGTAATGTTTTCTGCAAGTTGATAGATAAGTAAAGGACTTTTCACAATTTTCACATTTGTACAGTTTTCTCCTTTCTGAATTATCTCATGTATTCCAAGATTTGAGGCGTTGGTAAAGAACTTGTCACATTCTTCATATTTGTAGGGTTTCTCTCCAGTATGAGTTCTCTGATGACCTCTAAGATGCGCCATTTGACTAAAGGCTCACATTCTTCACATTGGTATGGGTTTTCTCCAGCATGAATTCTCTGATGTATTCTAAGCTTTGACATGTTGGTAAAGAACTTGTCACAATTTTCACATTTGTAGTATTTCTCTCCAGTATGAATTCTCTGATGACCTCTAAGATGCGCCATTTGACTAAAGGCTCACATTCTTCACATTGGTATGGGTTTTCTCCAGCATGAATTCTCTGATGTATTCTAAGCTTTGACATGTTGGTAAAGAACTTGTCACAATTTTCACATTTGTAGTATTTCTCACCAGTATGAATTCTCTCATGCAGTCTAAGATATGAGGTGTTGCTAAAGGACTTGTCACAGTCTTCACATTTGTAGGCTTTCTCTCCAGTAAGAATTCTCTCATGTACTCTAAGATATGAGGTGTTGGTAAAGGACTTATCACATCCTTTACATTTGTAGTGTTTCTCTCCAGTATGAATTATTTGATGTCTTCTAAGATGTGCCATTTGACTAAAGGATTTGTCACATTCTTCATATATGTCTGGTTTTCCTCCAGTATGAAATTTCTGAGGACCTTTCTAAGAGATGAAGTGTTGGTAAAGGACATGCCACAGTCTTCACTTTTAAAGGGTTTTTCTCCAGTATCAATTTTCTGATATCATCTAAGATTTGACAGGTTGATAAAGGACTTGCCACCTATTTCATATTTGTAGGGTTTCAGTCTATTATAAATTCTCTGATGAACTCTACAATCTGTGGTATTGGCAATAGACTTGTCACACTCTTCACATTTGAAGGGTTTCTCCTCATTAAGGGATCTCTTATGTACTCTAAGATGTGCCACTTAACTAATTGACTTGTTACATTTTTCACATTTGTATGGTTTCTCTCCAGTTTGTATTGCCTGATGTCTTTTAGGATTTGACATTTTGTAAAGAATTTGTCACAGTCTTTACATTTGTAGGGTTCCTCTCCATTATAAATTCTCTGATGTGTTCTCAGACTTGAGTTCTCCAGGTGAGGCAAAAAAATAAAGAGTGTATTTCAATATGGAGAGCAAGGCTGAGACAAATATGCATTCCAGGTTATATAAAGAAAAGCATGAATAAAATTTACAAATACCAACTCATTAAAACATAGAAAATTTGTATTAATATTAGATCTCTTTTAATCCAGCATCAGAGACAGGAGAGCATGAAATAATGAGAAAAATACAGTTAAAGCACTGAAAGTGAAAGTACAAACTTAAATTGATTCACAGAAATGTTCTCTCCAAAAATTGATAGAATAGCATTACAAGAAATGTTCAAATTCATGGTACAAAAGCCATCACTTCAGAATTTTTGTACACAAACTGATGAATAAACCAATTCCCAGAATGAATCCATCATGTGCAACAAAGAAAACAAAAAAGGCCAGTACTGATACTGAAAAGGTAGGAATAAGGACTGGAGCAATGGCTAAGCAGTCCAGAGAATTGTCTGCTCTTGGAGAGGACCAGGGTTCAAATCCAAGAAACCACATGATTGCTAACAACTCTTCATAATTCCTGTTCCATATGATCCACTGCCATCTTCTGACATTCACAGGCAATACATGGCTAGGGTGCACTGACATACATGCTGACAATACACTCATATACATAAAATTAAGTAAAAAAATATTGTTTAAAAAGGAAAGATGTTCACCTGCCAGCCTTGGATCTAGACAGGCTCTGATTCCTCTACCTGAGATCCCTAAACCAGCTTCCAAACCCACACTAGCTAAACACCCAACAGTAGAGTGCTAATTTCCTACTCACATGGTTCTCCCCACATTCTATTCCATAGTTCCCAATCATCCAGAATAATCTACCCTCCCAGGACTCTGGTAAGTCAGATCCCACCCACTGTGTCTCTATTTCATTCTTCTTTCCCACCCTCACACTGTCCCCTACCAGTCTTGGACACAGGCATGCTCAAATATCTCTGCCTCAGATTTCTGGACTAGCTTCCTAACCCAGACTAGATAAACTCCCTAGCATTGACTTTACTGGTTCCTGATCTGTCTGAGACAGAAAAGCCCTCCTACTAACTTGCCCAACCTACCTACTACACTGTTGCACTATCCACCCAGACCAGTATACTATCCTGAGAGAACATGAACCATGCACCAATTTATTTTCCATACATGAACAAAAATAAATCAAGGTACATAAACAATATAAACAGAACCAAAATTAAATTAAAGAAAAAAGAGAATAAATTCTAACTGGACACATAATCAATAACATCCATGTACCTGAACGGCAACACAAAAACATGAGTAATATGGAAAACCACAAGAATACATGCCAAACAAAACCCACTGGTCCTACAGAAGTGTAATACAAGCAGAACCACCCTGAGGAACCCTAAGACACAGAATTTAAAAAGAATACTCATGAAGATGATAAAGAAAAGGAATGAAAACACAGAGCAGCAACTCAAAGAAATCAAATAGGAATGTGGCTTAATGAAATATAAAAAATGATTCATGACTTGAAAAGTGAATTCACAAAAGAGATAGAAATAGTGAAGAAATCCCAAATGGAAATGCACATTGGTTGAAAAACGCAATAAAGCAATTACAAATAATAGTAGAAAGTCTCAAAAGTAGAATGAATGAAATGAAAAATGGAATATCAAGACTGGATGATAAAGTTAATGAACTAGACCACTCAAGGAAAGAGTTATGAAAAATTTAAGAAAACACAAAAAAAAAGAGAGAGAGAGAAATGGAATACTCAGAAAATATGGGGCAACATGAAAAGACCAAATTGATGAATTACAGGCATACAGACATGAGAAGAATCTAAGACCAATGGCATTGATCAGATCTTCAACAGTGTTATAGTAGAAAACTTCCCTAAATTAAGGAAAGACCAGCCCATAGAGATTCAAGAAGTACACAGAATGCCCATTGGACATGACCAGAACAGAAACTCTCCACAGTATATAGTAGGAAAAACAATAAATGTACAGAACAAAGATAGGGTATTGAAAGCTGCTACAGAAAAACAAGTTACATGTAAAGGAAAACCGACCAGAAATGCAGCTGCCTTTTCAATGCAAATATGAAAGCCAAAAGGTCCTAGAAAAAGTATTCTCAGTTTTAAAACACCATGGATGTCATCCTCTTTCTCACTGACTGGCGCTCTGGGAAAGGGTTTGGTTAGTAACAGAAAAGAAAAAAAACAATTTTACTTTGAACTTTGATTTATGTTTTGCATGCTATATTTTTGGCTGTCCCTGCTCTTTAGAAATAAAAAGCCACTCTTAGAATTAAACTCGCTCTTCTCCACCTGAGAGTTGTGTTCGTTGCCTTCTCTACTCCAACTATCCATCAGCAGACCTGAGTCTCTACAGCTGGCGCCTAACATAGGGCTCGAGGAATGTGTTGAAAGGATTTCAAGTTAAGGCAGCGGGACCAAAAGGGAAACAGTATGCAAGGTAAGCAAGTTTTGGGTAATAATTGACAAAGTAAATGGGGAATTTCAAGTCAGTGGATGAGCAATACTTCCAGTTGTTAATGCCCTCTTGAAAGGAGGGGGAGTAAAGGTAAAAGACAAAACTTCTAAAGAGTTAGTTAAACAGGTTAAAAAAAAAAAAAAAAAAAAAAAAAAAAACATTGTCATTGGTTGTATTGGCAGACTGTTTTAAATTATAAAGTATGGACTCAGGTTATGAAATCTTAAAAGAGAACCCATTTTAAACTATAAAGTATGGAATCAGGTTATGAAATCTTAAAAGAGAACCCATCAGCGAGAGTAGATAATTTCCATTCTGGTGTGGTTTGTTTGTACTTTTATTTCTAATGCTTTACAGCCTCTTCAAACAGAATCAGAGAGCTGCTCAGATAATGGAATCTCTGATAATGTACTTTAAAAAAAGAAAACAAAGGAGAGATGTTGAGGAAGGACAAAGTGGTCAGGGGTCACTCTCACTGATGACTTACCATTGATGCTGACCTTACCTCAAATGCCTTTAGAGGTTATTGAAGAGTCATCGCCAGAAAGAGAAAGAGATCTTAAGATTTTATATGAGGATCTTGGGGCTGTAAGAAGTCTAATGAGGCAGAGACCTTATCTTCTGAAGATGAGATAAAAATCTCTAAATCTCAATATAAGGAACTCTTAAAGGTAATAAAGAAATTGGGAGTACAGAAAGGGGAAGAAACTGGAGAATATTACTCTCCTTCATATAATCCAAAATATGTAAGTGGCTAAATGTAATTCTAGTTTTAACCTGTGAAATTCCAAAAAAACCTGTAAACAATGTTCTATAGATAATATTTCCAATTTCCCTGTAACTGTTAATCAAGTTCTTCTAAATAAGGAATATCTGGAAGGGGCATTTCAATTTTTCTCATACTCCTGTAACTTTTAAGTCTATGAAAGAAATGAAACAACTTGGAAAAATGCCACAAAGTTCATTACACACAAGGAACTGCGTGGAGATTTTAGCCAGCACACTCACAGATACCACAACCTTCATGTTGAGTTTATTATTCCAAAACCCAGAATGTCCTTGAAGATGGTCAGTAGCCATTGTAGAACTTTGAATCTAGGGAGTAGCTAGGGAAAAGTAGCTGGGAAAAACATTTGTGTCCTGCTGGTAACTAGGTACTGTGCTCCTGTTTCTCATGCTGTAATTGTTTTACAAAGCCAATAAAAGAAAAAGCAAAAGAGCCCTGAGGGCTCATGCCCTGGAGGGGCTGAACACTGTGCTATCTTTGAAATAAGCACTCCCTGTGTCCACAGAAACTTTGGGGTCTAAACATCAATAGAAGAAATACAAATGGCTAGGAATCACTTTAAAAAGTGTTCACCAACCTTACTAGGTAAGGAAATGCAGATAAATGACCTTAAGCTTCCATCACGATTGAATCAGAATGGATATAATCAAGAAGACTGCTAACAAATGCTGGTGCAGACCTGAGGAAAGAGGACCCTAACACACTGTCAGTGTGAGTGTAAACTAATGAAGCCGCTTGTAAATCAGTCTGAAGTCATCACAAAAAAGCTAGTAAGAAAACTACCATAGTGCCCAGAAACATCACTCCTGGGCATATTCCCAAAGAATTCTGTCACAGACACAGGGATGTCTGTGCATTCATTGTCACTGCTACTCTAGTCACAATAGCTAGAATATGGGGATAACCTAAACACCCAACACTTGATGAATAATGAAGATGTATTAAATATGCACAGTGGAACATTAGTCTTAAGAACACTAGAGATTATGAAATAGCAGAGAATGGATAAAATTTCAAAAAAAATATTCTAAGTGAAGAAACCCAAGCCACAAAGGACAAATGCCTCATGCCCTCTCTCATATGAGCATCTTAACTTTAATTCTTTACATGGCAACCAGAAAGGCGGGCTCACAGCTGGAGACGGAGGTGGAGACTGTGCACTGCCACTCAGAGTGCCGGAGGGAGTGGAACCCGAGCTCTTCAAGCATCTGTCGACCAAGCTTTTCACCAATGATGACATGACTGAATTCCTCCTGAGGGAGTCAAAGATAGAGCAGCACTTGAAATAGAAGCCGCTGTGGCAGGAAGCCAGTCCACCACAGGCCCAGCTGACCAAAGTGTGTAAGCACTTAACTGCTGCCATGGACTGAGGGAAGCTCAAGGTAGAATTCCTACAAGTATCCAATCTGATCATGGCCGAGTTGAGGTTGCGGATGACTGTGGAAGCTTTTGCTACCAAAGATGGAGGGCTGTCCCAGGAGTCTTGAAGAAGACTTTGCCCCTGTGCATTTATAACATGGTTCCTCAAATGTCTCACGAGTCGACAGCCATCTGGATAATAATGGTGGCAGCACGGGGTCGCTGCTGCTGCTGCTTATGCTGGAATGACTTGAGTGACTCCTTCATGGGCTTCTCCAGCATGGCCCTGGCAGCCGCGCAACACCGTGACTCAGCAGCCGAGAAATGAGAGGGGATTTGTGCAGAGGGAAAGAGCTGAACACAGGCATCTGGCCATCTCGGACCTGTCCGCTCTATCTGCAGGATTATACCTGAAAGATTTTAAGCAGAGGAGTAAAATTTTAGTCAAATGAAGTAGCTTTCCTCCAGGAGGTCTATCGCCCTCTTCTGACTGCCTCACGCATTGCAGGACATAAGTGTACTTATATACATACAAACAGAAACACTGAGAGCCTGAGAATTTAAGGAAAGAAAACTAGAATTGCAGTTCCCTCATGTGAGCTGGAATTATGATCCGTTCCCATGAGCTCAAGTTGTGGTCATCTCCTGTTAGATGGAGTTTCCTCTCCTGAGAGCTGAGGTTCTTCTTGTGGGCTGGAGCTGTTATCCCTCCTGTGAGCTGGAGTCATGGACCCTTCCCAAGGGCTGGAGCTGTGGTCCTCCTCTGTGAGCTGGATGTGTGGTCCCTGCCTGTGAGCTGGAGTTCTGGTCCCCTCCTCTGAGCCAGAGCTGTGTTTCCCTCCTGTCAGATGGAGCTGTGGTTGCCCTCCTGTGGGCTGGAGTCCTGGTCCTCTCCTGTGACCTGGAACTGTGAACTCCTCCTGTCAGTTGTAGCTGTGACCCTCTCCTGTGGGTTGGAGTCCTGTTCCTCTCCTGTGAACAGGAGCTGTGGTTCTTTCTATGAGCTGGAGTTGTGGTTCCCCTCCTGTGAGCTGGAGTTGTAGTTCCCCTACTGTGTTCTGGAGCTGTGGTCCCCTCCTATGAGATGGAGCTATGGTTCCCCTCCTGTGATCTGGAGCTGTGTTCCCCTCCTGTGACTGTAACTGTAGTACCCTCATAATAATATGGACTCCCACTCCCAAGAGGGATGATCAGAATGGACTGTGCACCATCAGGTGCTCACCCACAGAAAATAAATGCATCTTTCAACTCTCACTTGAGAAGTTTCCATATGCAGCAGATGGGGCTGTCTAATGTGTGGGTAGGGATGGGCTACAGAGTGCTTATCGCTAGGTGGGACACCTCTGTCAGGCTTCTAGAGCTCAGGGCCTGGGAATTATTGCAGAGGAGGAAGAGGAAAGATTGTAAGAGCCAGAGGTGGTGGATGACCATTGGGCAGGCAGAGTTTTCCAGTCAGATGGCCAGTTACCCATTTGAAGTCATAGCAATAATGACAGCATACACAAGTCCTATGCAAGCTCAACTGGATGAACCCATACTGGTGAACATTTGGGGATTTAAGTTAGACTCTATAGGCTTTATTATTCAGGGAATGTGTTGAATTAATTGGAGGGGTGTAGGGAGATGTGGATGGGAGAGGGGGTATAAATGTCATCAAAATGTCTTGTATGGAAATCGCAAAAATTTAATAAAAATGCTAAAAAAAAAAGATGGGGAAGACAATACAGAATTTCATGCTATATAAATATTCTATGTGATGCTCCACACAATCATACTTTCATTTTGGGAGAAATGCATAAATAATCCTGTAGCAATAATAAATCACAAACAATCAGAAGGGAACAAAACTTTTCAAAGCTGAGACAAAATGTAAAAAACAATATTTACTAACTTCACAATAACTTAAATTTCAGCTATTACCTATCTAGCATTTGAAAGAACTCAGACATAGAACATATGAAATAATTAAATAAATGATGATATAATTGTTTTTGCAAAATACAAAATCATTTGACATTTACTACAGGACAAATATTGAGGAAATTGCTATAATTTCTACCAAAACAGACCGTGGCACAAACATTTTTCCTTTATCCTTATCCTTCTTTACCTAAGACTGCTCACATGGGCCCCAAATTCATCCACTCAAACATACTTGGTGGCTACATTCCTCCCAGTCTTCAGATTTCAGGGCTCTTTGCTTTGCTCCAGGCAGGAGACTGAAAAAGGCTTTTACACAGCAAGAGCTCTGTATGAGAAAGAGGCATTGATGGTTCCTGGTTTTTTTAAACTGTGGGATTTCTATCCCAGCCCTGGGCTTCAGTGATAATATAGAGGAAAATTTATACCTCTACATATTGTTTCATACTTGTTATGACCTGACAGACACTTTTATATATATATAGGAAATTTTTCACTTTTTATATGCTGAGAGTATGGAATTTGGAGCAAAGAATCTGAACCAAGGCAATAGACTCCCGGGAGACAAATGGATACAGGTGTCAAAACCCAGTAGCACATACCATTAGGCATGTGATATTGGAGGATTAAAATGATAAATGAAGTAATACAATGTGGTCAAATAATCACTTTCAATTTTATGTAAACTTCAACCCTCATTACACTGGCATATGAGGACCTTAGTCTATTCTAGGACAGAACAGTAAATTGGCATGCTTCAGGTTTTACCACCACACTGGAAACATTTTAGTGATTGAAGGTCATGCATTCATGGAATAAGTACCGAAAAAACTAAGCCCTTGCTGGACAGAATGGAGAGGTGGCTATACTACATAGGTGGTACATATGTAAACGGTTAATGTGGGCCAGCAATGGTAGTACACCGTATCTGAGGGCTCTGGATGTAGAGACATGCGGATTTCCATGAGATCCCGCTCAGCCTGGTCTACATAGTGGGTTTAAGGCCAGAAATGGCTACAAAATCAAAATATCAAACATTTTGAGAAAAAGGGACATGGATAAAGAAGCCATCTCTCCTCCTCCTTTGAGTTTCTTGTCCCAGACATCTTACATAAAGTCTCCTCTTTCTTTTGAGAAATTTCCTTTCAGTTCCCTGAAAACCCACTTTACCTGACAACACAACAAGAAGCAGCAGCACCTAAGAAAACAAAACAGGCCGTTCTCACTGTCTGCAGTCACAGTAGATGCACAGGAAGAAAGAGCGCAACATGGAGACCATGAGAGAAGTTTCTGCTTTCCTGCCTTTGAGTGGCCCGCCCTGCCAACAAGATCAAGAATTCCTACTACATTCATGAGAATGTATCTGCTTCACCTCGTTACCTACACAGGGCAGAGCAACACGGTTTTCCACCTTTGTAATAGAAGCAAAACTAAGCTTTCTTTCAGAAGCACTTGTATTTGACTCCCAGCCTAACCTAATGCCTGAAGATGTTCATTGAAACAGCACTGATAAGTCTACTTTGCTTAATAGAATCTGTGTGGGAGGCACAAGTCAAAGTTTGTCTTTTAATGACTGAAGTTCCTGAATAGTTTATTATGAGTTTTAAATGTCTATTCTTGGGGCTGGAGAGACGGCTCACAGGATATGAACGATGGCTACACTTCCAGATGACCCAGGTTTGGTTTGCAGCCAACAACCATACATAACATCGGTTCCAGGACTTCTAACACTGTCTTCCAGCCTCCACAGGCATTTCTCACATGGATGCACTTACACAGAAGCAAAAACGCTCTTACACATAAAAAATTTTAAATTAAATAAATAAAACTTAATAGAAATGAAATCTTTGCTGATGACACCATCTTTTACATATAGATGAGATAGCCTTGACATATAGTTTTTAAAATATTTTTTTTATTTTTTATTTTATATGTACGAGTGTATTGCCTGCATGTATGTGAGTGCACCTGTGTTGTGCAACATTACAGAGGTCAGAAGAGGGCATTCTATTCCTTTGCAACTGGAGTTCAGGATGGTTCATAGTTGCCATAAGGGTGCTGGTCCTGGAACCCACATCCTCTATAAGAGTGTTCAGTGTTCTTAACTGCTGAACCATCTCTCCAGGCCCGATATATTGTTTTAAATGTACATTGCATATTGATCTAGTCAGTCATTAATATACTGCATGCAAAATTTTATACTTTTGTACAGTTAGTACATCCAAGCTCATCTTTTTTAAAGTTTTAAGATCTGAAATGCAAGTGGTAGAATTCTATTCACCTTGTTCTTGTATAAAACAGTAGAACTTATTTAAGCCATGAATCCATGGCACAGTTTCTGTTGTTTGCCTCCATAGCCTCGCCATTCAATGGTAACCACTATTGTACCTTCAAGATCTAGCATCTGTCTAGTTTTTGTAATTTTGTTGTGACTGAAACCATTTAGTGCTGGTGTTTCAACTTCCTTTTCATAATAGAGTGAACATCAGCTTAATCATCTTTTCAAGTGTGAAAAATTCCTTCTTTTCTATGATGCAATTGTATTTTATTCTTTAGAAATATCCCATCCCATTAACTGTTTCATATGTTAATAGACATTTAAGTTAATACCTTTTTATTCAAACAGTGCTGCCATACTTAGGGAGGGCCCATTATCTCTAGCCATATTGAATTCATTTCCTTTGAGTACATATCCAGGATTTGTTGCTAGGATCCACAAATTAGAAAGAGACTTCAGCTCTCCCTGTGCATTAAGAGCTGCTCACTGATGGATGTTCCCCCCATCAAAACCTGGATGCTGACCTTAGGGTGCAAGTAGCACCCACACACACACCTTCTGTACTCTGACCCAGACCCAACCTTTGCAAGGGGACTGGACCAGCCTCAGTAAGAGTTTGGACCTCAGTAACAGCCTAGAGGGCTATAACCCTCAGTCCACAACTGGAGTGGTGAGCGCTGGGTGGAAGAGGGAGACCAGGGCATGCCCAAGGCCTGGGAAGACAGGTGAAAGCAGAGGGAGGACAACAATAATGAATAATTTCCATAGTGATCAAGTGAAAGCTTAAGAATTTAACTGCAAACATTGGGATGACTCTCAGTTCTAAAATAAACATGACAATGAAAGAAACAATTGAAAGAGACATAGCACAGGGTCGTCAGACAATTGATTCATGGGTAGGGAGTGAGGGGGAGGTGACTTACAAAGAAATCGCTCTTGGCAGCAGATCAGATCAGTGGCCAATCAGATTGCTTCTGTGGCCCCCAGTCTCCATTAGCTTTCACCCAGACCCCAAGCTTGGAGAGCCCCAGCTATTTTCCAGAGGCCGCACAGCCCTCCTTTTTCCATTCCAATCTCCAGCCAAGCTAGCTCCACCCCTCTTCCCAGGGTGCCTTGTGCTCCCTGTAGCTCAGGATTAAGTGTTTCCAGCTACAGAGAAGGAGGAGGAGGAGCAGGAGGAGGAGGAGGAGGAGGAAGAGGAGGAGGCAGGGG